GGATCACATTTCAGATTCTGGAATCATTCTTAATGAAATAATTTTGACACTGAGGGACATGTGTCCCTTTGATAGCAAATTACTTAACTTTCCCATTAATCTCTACTCAGTACTCAACAGCAAATCAAAAGATATTTCTAAAGATATTTATTCTTCCTGCCAAAAATACTATATTATTTTTCAATCCCCCCAAATACCAACAAAAAATGTTCATTATCTTACTTATTTAAAACTTTAAATTAACAATATCACTTCAACCTAGCTGACAACATTCACCCTTACTACTGGTATTGACTTAAAAGCTGGCTTTAAACTTAATGAATTAAACTCTATGCAAACCAAAAGATGCATGGGTGGTGGTGGTAAAATATGATAAACTATAAATTAGGTGAAGTTATATTTCTCCTTAGTTGACCTAAAACTTTTAACAATATTCATTTATTCCATGAACATTTATTAAGCACTTGTGAGCCAGGCAGGAAATACAGAAATGGACAACAGTCCCTGAATTTTGGGGAGGGATATCTAAAAGTATCTTCTGTGCAACCAATTACTGACACTTAGAAGTTCTTCCTAAGATTCATCTAAACTGAATGATAGAGTGGGTCTCTACAAAATGGAATAAAAACTATGAAATTGTCACTGGATTCCAGCACCTGGAACACACTGGCACACAAAATCAAGTTTCACATCTAAAAATTGTATCACAACCCCCCAAACTCTCAATATGCAACAATCAAAACATTTGGCATGTCAAAGAAAATGAAAGAAGGCTGAAGTATACTGGTATTATTAGCACATAACAACATGTTCCAAGTAACTACCACAATGGTTTCTAAAGCTTCGTATTTTTCACCTAATAGATATGAACATAAGAAAAATTGAAATTATGCATAATCCACAAAATAATCAAATAGATGATCGAGCATATATAAAAGTTATATAAAAGTGCATTCCATTTCATTAGAAAAATTTTTCCAATAATACTAAGCACATCCTCGCTTTATATAAACACACCATTTTCTTCAAAAATTACCATAAAATTATTTTAACTACCTGTAAAAGTTCCAACTTTTAAATATTCTTGGAAAACGGCTAAATACAACTACTTTCCACAAAGTCCAGGAATCTTCCATTCTATCAAAGCTACCAAATTTCAAAATCAAGTACAACCAGTCTTTTGTTATATTTCTATAATTAAAAAAAAAAAAAAAACAAGATCGACCTAAATGTCGACTTGGAGAAGTTTTTTCAGCTGCAAATGCTCTGAAATGCATTAACAATTAAACTAGATAACAAGGTCCAAGGCAATTCATGTGGCTAATACTGCATTTTACAAAGAAGACACCATTTTAAACCATTCAAGCAAGAAGCTCTAAGAGAAATACTCCCGTCACAAGTCTCAACAAAACTTCAGTAGTAATCTTTTTTTTTTTTTTTTTTTTAAGTAGGTTACACTGACTGGCATCACCCTAACCTTGAAAAATACAGAATAGTTCCTGCCGACTACCCAATTTACATCAGGTCATCTCCGGGAATTCAGGAGTCAAGGAGGATTTTAGGGGCCATAAATCTCCTACGTGAGCCTTCAACTCTCCAAGCCTACAATCGCACTTTTGAAAAACCCAGAGTAAGCCTCACTCGAGACCCTCCGATTTCCTACGATAAAGCACACGTTGGTGGCACACATAACGCCCACACACATCATCTAGCAGCTAATCCTCGGCACTAGCGTCCATCCCCGTCACTAACTTGTAGATCCTCAAAGCTCCTCCCACTCATTTCACGTGGCTGCAAACTAGCATCGCCAGCCTTCGGCAAGAGACACTCAATTCATTCTCCATCAAATGCACCCAACGTCCACATCTTACTGGACCACCTCCTTCTTCAGTGCTGAAGGCTGTCTCCCAAGGGATACCTCCGAGGGTAAGCCCCGCCCCAACGTTGGGCCTTGGAAGCTTTTCACAGCAATCTCTCCACCTTCAGGCCACGAAAGCGGCTGGTTCTGAGACTTCCTACCCTCACAGGAGTGTACCGACTACAGCTTCTTCCTCACAGGTGTGTCTTAATTACAGTTCCTCTTTTCCAGCTGGCCACAGGGGCCTCCCTTCCACTTCGGGTGGAGTGTCCTCACTACGATTATCTCACTTCGAGGCACAGACGTGTACTTATAATCTCTGCCCCATTTGGAGGCACAGAAAATCTTGCTCACTCGGGATGTAGGTGCTGTTTTCACTGCAGCCCCCGTGAGTTCGCAGGCCGCTGGCCATCCAGCTCTGGCCTCCTCCCTCTCAGACCACGGGGGCGTCCTCACTAAAGCCTCGTCCCCACTGCGGTATGCAGGCTCATCTTCTCGTGCGTTCTTGCACACTCTCAGGCCTCAGAGGCGAAAGTGGCGCCCCAGGCCCTCCGCAGCCATACCCCGACCCTTTTGTGTGGGGCGTTCGCTGCGGCGGGCGCGGAGGCCTGCGGAGGCCTCCGAAGGCCCCGCCCCAGGCCACTAAGGGGCGGCTCGAGCCCCGCACAGCCCCGCCCGTTCCGGGGCTGCGGGAGTCTTACCGGGGAGAGCTGCGCGGCACCTGAACCCAGACCCGAGTTACCCCCCGCGCGAGTGCCTTCGCCCCGCGGCCGACAGCCCCTGCGCGAACAGCTTCCCGGAGCCCACAGCAGCCACCACCTCCTCCGCCGCTTCACAAAATGGCCGCCGGCCCGCTCTGCAGCTCTGGGTTCCAGAAGGGGCGGGATGAAGTGGTTTACGTCACGGGCGGGACGGCGCAAGCGCACTGAGGTTTTCGGGCAATCTCCCGGAAATTGCCGGTTTGGGGCGAGAGAAGCTTTGGGTCCTTTGCGTGCGACTTTTACGTACGAGCCCCGCCTTACGGGAGTGACGCTGAGCGGTAAAGTGGGTACAGTACCTGGCTCGGCCCCCTACTGCAGGACTTTGTGCAAATTGCTTCATTTCTTCAAGCTTTTGTAATAAGAGGGAAATAGTACCTACTTCGCATAACTGTTTTGAAGATTAAAAGGACCGCAAAGTGTTGCCTAGTTCTATTGATGATTCCCTGACAGAACCGAAAGCTGATGCTTTTTCTTTTACAATTTTCAATCCAGGGAGCCTTATCCATCAATCTTCATTAACCCCTCCACAGCTGCACGTAGAGTGTTATCATAGAAAATATTTTATTATAGAAAAATTATTCTGATGCTGCTTTGATCCAAACCTCCCAACTGCACTCCTCCTGCCTATACCCTATATCTTGATGAATGTCACCATAATTGAACTAATCTTCCAAATCAGAAAGCCAGGAGGAGTCAACAAAATCAGGGACTAAATTCTCACAACTCTGTAACTACAGCTTTTGGGAAAATTTGTGTAGCAGACTTGCCTGGTGCTAGCCCAATGTGCCAAAACTAGCAAATAACAAAACAAGGCTACAATTTAACCAAACCTATACTTTATTAAATATACTCTTTGTAAGTATAATATATAATTCATTAAAAGCAAAACCTACTAAATGCAATGTGGTATCCAGGATCGGATACTGGAACAGAAAAAGGACATTAGTGGGAAAACTTATGAAATCTGAAAAAAAATCTTTAATACTAATGTCTAGATGTTGATCTTAGTTTTGACAAATGTACCATAGTTTCACATAAGATGTTAAAATCAAAGGAAATTGGGTGATGGACATTGCAGCCTTTTTATAAATCTAAAATTATTCAAATAAAAAAATTTAAAGAATTTCTATAATTTCCTCTTCTCCTTCCCCTGTTCATCTGCATGTACCATACTTTAGCCTATCTTTCAAACTTTTTTAACTATCATCCACTAAATACATTTACAACTTGGCATACACATTCAAATATGTAATCAAAATAAAACACTTTAAATATGTATGATATACTCTGTGTGTGTGTATGTGTGTGTGTGTGCTGATAATTACCCGTATATGGTTTCAGACTTATAAATGGAAAAAAACTACTCTAGTTGCACGGGCCTTCTATTGGTTTCTCAAGCACACCATGATTTTTCATAATTCAGGCCTTTTGCTTTTGCTGCTTGTTCTCATCCTCACTCATCTTTCCATGGCTCGAAATTATGTTTTTACATAACACATCTTCAAAAAGCTTTCCTAGTACACCCATTATTTCTTCTTACCACTCTATTTTTTCCATAGTACCCATCACAATCTATAATAGCCTTATTTGTTTACTTGTTATTTTCTGTGTTGTTACAAGAATGAAAGCTCAATGAGGGCAGGGTCCTTTTTGGTCCTGTTAACCAGTGTATCCTCAATACCCAGTACAATGTCAGGCTCCTAATAGGCACTCAACTGCTGAATGAATATATATGCAAGCAGAATGAGTCATCTACAGAAATCAAGTGGAGTAGTAGTGTGCTCTACAATTCTCAAGCACAGCTTGGAATTTTCCCTGAGCTTCTCATAAAGTCACAGAGTAAACAGAAGAAGGTGATTTTATTTCTCTAATCTGCAAATTAACAAAATTTTTAAAAGAAACAAATTAGAATAATGTGTAGAGTCATATTTCTCACTCCACTAGGTCAAAAGAAAGAAAAGAAGACAAGAACAGAAAGGAGACAAGCCTTCTAAGAAGTTTTCTGTTCGATCTACAGCCAATATGCAGAGGTGGCCTTTGGAGCCACAAAAAAAGATTAAATCAAAGTTGATTATGCTTGTTCCTGAAGGGAGTCAGTCTTGCTGAGCAGCAATAAGCAACAAAAATGACCATGTACAGCATCAGGATCCCCAAACAGTGTTCTTTCAGTTCCTCTGGCTCTCTCCACTGAGGATACAGACACGTCCAGCAGCAATACCATAACAACGTCCCTCCTGTTTCAGAGTGAGACACCCACTCGCTGTAAGACCTGAGAAAGACTCTTGGAGAAAAATGGGTAGTGTTCTCCACCAAAGAAGCTGAGGCTGGGGAAA